CGCCCCACTCCTCCGGAGAACGGCAGCAACCTCACCCGCCATTCCCGCCCATCTACTAGTGGTCAGAAAATGACTGTGTGTCCTGGTGAAGCTGATGAGGACCTGCCTCTCGCCTGCAGCTTTGGCCATATCATTCTGCACCATATGTGGTGCCAAACATCTGGCCCACTCAACATGATTGCCTGAATGGTGAACGGACGAGCATGAGAAGTGTGAGCCGAGGATGGCGCTGCAGGCTGCTATGTGGCACCGCCGGCCAACACAAGTCTCACCTGTGAATTGCCTAAAAAATGCCAGCCGGCATGTCACAGCCAAAATGCTTGAGCTCCTTGGTGTGCTGCTAGCCTGTTGCCTGCACGCGTGCATTGCCGTGCATGCACGCTCCCCATTGCAAGTGCGGCCCTCCAAAACGCGGCGCACGACCCTGCAGGCGATGTGCATGCACACTCAGGTTTGATCTTACTCCGTACGCGTGTTGCGCAGCTTGATACAACGCTTTGAAATGTACAATACGACGGTCGGATCTGATCTCATCCTTGCCAGGGGTCACAAACGCGCTTTTGATACAACAGGCGAATGAGCTGGAACAGGCCGACCAGTAGGATCCTGTGAAGGAGTATCATATGGTGCACATCCATTGCCGGGCGCTGCCGCGTGCTTGGCACGCGGGTGGCAGGTGAGGGCAGGTGCCATCAGCCCCGCTGGCTGCAAGTGCTACCGCTCAGTCAGCGGGTGGAATACTCGGTGGTCTGTGCAAGGCCTGATGCAGAATAAGGTGCGTCCATTACGACCCCCCATTTTTTTACGTTGCTGCAGCGGAACAGGCGTCGCTGCTATTGGTGCACCTGAGCACCTTGACCTATAGAAATTGACCGACGGCATTCTGTGCAGGGATTTTTTTCCAGCCATCGGCAGGGCGCACATGCAAAATGGAAAACACACTTGCGGGAGGGTTCAAGATATGTGACTCCAGAAATGCTAACCAAAAACAGCTGAGCCACTGACCGTTTGTGCCCCCCTCGCCCGAATTCGGGACTGAATGTTGTCCCATCAAGCAGCTTGGGCCGACAGCTGGGGATTCATGCATCCATTCACACACCGGCTGGTCCCACCACCTCTTCCAGCGCTGCGATCAATCCCTCCAGCCCCGCCAGGAAATTGGCGTCTGGGCCGCCCTCGTGCATGCCCGCTGGGAAGGCGTGGGCAAAGTCGATCAGCCGCACCGCCACTCGTGCCTCGGCCGCGCACCGTGCAGCGCCCTCATACAGGAGCAGCACCGAGGCCGAAAACAGGTGGTAGGAGGTTTGGGTGCGGAAGACAGCCGCCATAGACTGCAGCTCTGCCAGCACAGGGCCCACCACATCGCGCGGCGCCAGTATGCCTGCGAGCGAGTGGACGGGGGAGAGGTCTGGTGGGTGGGTAGTGTCCAGGAAAGCAGCGTTGAGGGGCTGCCTGGAACAAGAATCACTGTGTGAACAGGGCTTTGCAAACAGGGCTTCGCTTCAGGATGTTGTGATAAATCTGGGTGCCCGCAGGTTGGTGTACGCGCACCGTTATCAGAGAAGCGCTTTAGCGCCGCCAACGCCCCCGCCTTGTCCAGCCGCTTGCCCCAGTGCCGGTCCTCGCGCCAATCGCCGGAGCCATCAGCCAGCGCGGCCTTGACGCCACACAGCCGGAAGCCCAGGGTGGCCTGGGTGGTGCTGTCATCCTTCAACCTAGGGGTGGTGGGTCAGCCAGCAGCCAGCGGATCCATGCCGTAAGGCAGCAGCCGCCAGGGCATGCCCGGCGCGCGGGTAATTCACCCCTGAAAGCGCGTCACCTTCCTGCTGGCGTCTGGCTCCAGAGCCGTGCCTTTCAAAAGCGTCCGCCTTGCTACCCAAACCCAAGTTGACAAACCACCCCGGCACCTGTACTTGCTGATCAGCGCCTGTGGCCCCCAGGGGTACCACGTCTGCAGCCCGACCTTGGCGTCCAGCACACAGGGCAGGCGGTAGCCGGCGGCGAGGTCCTCCAGGATCAGATAGCGCCGGCCCTCGACAGTGCGGGTGCCAACTGTACAGGTACAAGCAATTTTTTGTGGCAGCGTGAATGCACGGGGATGTTGCACGTGTCTGTGCGTGCGCGTGTATGCATGCTCACGTGTATTGTGATTGTCAGTGTGACTGTGCCTCTCTCCATGCAATGCCAACGCGCGCGTGTGTTTGTTTGTGTGTCTGTTTGTGTGCAGGTGTGCATCAGCACATACGGTGTGCTCGGGCAAAGTATCTACATGAGACTCAACACATGATGGGCCTAGCACTCCCATTGGCTCACAGCTGCAAGGAATCCATCGGCTGAGGGCCAACACATCCGCTTCCCCATAAAGGCAGGGGCCCCCACTGGAGCTCGCAAGACGCGTGCTGCCCTCTGCATGCCGTTCACATCCGGCAACGGCGCTTCTGCAACTTTCGTCGCCGTCGCTGCCGCTGCATTGGTGGCTGCTATGGCTGCGAATTGCCTCACGATGATTGCCGCTGGTGCTGCCACCACAACTACTGCGCAAGCGCTCCACATGGGAGTACAGCTGCAGCTCCCTTTCTCCGCGCTCACCATCCTGCAGATGCAATGTGCCAACTTGCATGGAACATTACAGTCTCGCACCATCTTATGCATATTGCGGGGCAGGGCAGCGATCGCTGCGGCTTGGCGAGGTTCACCTGCAGCAGCTTGAGGAAGCGCCCATCCTCGTCAATCAGAGCGGCAGGCAGGCCGCCTGCAAGGCCATGGACCAGCCCGGCATCAGCATCTTGCCAGTGTCCCTTGCACACGGAATGACCACTGCATGCATGCGTTGCGCCCACCTTCTTGGCTGTGGCCCCCGACCTGCGACGAACCAGCAGCAACGGCAGCGGTGGCAGCAGAAGTGAGGCCCGATATTCACTGGTTGGCAAACGCCAAGCCATCATGCTGGACTGGTCAGTATAATACCGATGACATAACATTACCTGGTGGGCGTACGGTTGAAGCTTTCGCGTGCTGCTTTGAGCTTCGCAGCAGATCATTTTCGTCGATCTCGGATCTCAGGTATAGATCATGCAATATGGTGTGCTGAAAGACTTCGCAACACCTGCCAACCTTCCTATTAATGTGTAGCCTGGTTTAGCGCCGAGGAAGTCAAACACCGGGTCAATGAGTCAACAAGTCCACAAAGCCTACTGTACCTACACACCTGAGGTGATCAGGTAAGAAAATGCTTGTATGAACTCGCCCTATTCGAGAAGTGGCATGGTATTGCTCCACGGCATTGCCCACCAGACATCTCTTCTGCTTTTTAACTCACGTGTGTCAACCCACTAGGGTAATTCACACGTATCCCTTTGTAATGCGCTTCCACAGGACGACGCCCACTTTGGGAACGTGAAAGCATTGAGACCATGCGGAGGATGCACAGCGCGTCTGCCTGCGGACGGTTCATGCGTTGGTGGTGACTAGAATTGCGCGTACACATCACGAGCAGCAGCGTCTCCACACAGCAGAGGTTCACGCGTAGCCACCGCTCAGAGACATGGATTGCAGCAGCCCCACATAACTGATTGCCATGTCATGGTACTTAAGCTGGCTGTTGTAGTACCCAGCGTTCTACTACTGGGTAGCCCTACGACAACCCATGGCGTGACGTGTTACCTACTGAAAAGGACATTCGTAAAGGCTGATCGGCGTTTTCACAGGCAGAATAACAATTAAAAAGAGCCCTGGCCTGGCGAACGCGTTGCGGCCGGGAAGTGGTAACGGCAAAGCGCATCAGTATAGTTGGGGGTGAAAAAAAGTACACATGATTGTTGAGTTCTCGCATACATACCATGATTGGTTGCAGTCTTTTCATGAATTGTCAGTGCTTGTAATGAAGCATTGCTGGGATGCGCTCTTTGCACAACCCTGATCTTCAAAAGCGTCCGCTTGGCCCCCATGGTGCCGCACCATGCGCTCGCCACGCGGGTGGCTGTAGCGGTCTCAAACCTGGCCCATCAGGATCCAAGCTGACATTTCATCCACCAACATTGCCACCTCAAAAGCCCCATGAGCCCGTGCAGTGCAGGGCTCCCTCCCCTCCCCTCCTCTCCTGTCGACCTGGGCTGTGAAAAGCACAAACGCGCCGCAGGCAGGCATCCCACTCTACGTGATGTCACACCGGACATGTTTCAAACAACCGAACAGGCTGTCGCAGGGAAAGGGCCGCGGCACGCATGTCACGAGTCTGCTTCCATCCCGAGCCACTGGGTCGAGGAGGATGATGTCATCGACGAAGCAAGAGACCCGGTGCGTGAGCGTTCCAGCCCTGGAGAGTGCCCCACGCTGCCCTGCTGGCCGTACACCGTCCGATGCTTGCGGCCCGGTGGGCAGATCAGCGCGCGTGCACTGCCGGGCGGCGGCCGGCCTTCAGCCACGCCCGTGGCGTTGTCGCCCACAAGGCCCGCGATGGTGGCTCGCAGGCGCCGCCACGCTGCGCCGCTGAGCGCGGTGCCGCGCGCCTGGACGGCCTCGGCACCCGCGGCGCAGCCCGCGGCGCAGCAGGTGGAGAGGGGGGAGCCGCGCAACAGGGCGTAGAGGAAGCCCGCCGAGAAGAGGTCACCCGCGCCGATGGTGTCCACCACTGCGACCTTGCTGGCCGCCGCGCTGCCGGCCTCACCAGTCGCGGCGCGCGCGACTGCGCCGCGGGCGCCCAAGCTGACGACGCAGACACGGGCGTGCTGCAGCACCAGCGACTGCGCGGCCTCTACCAGGAACAAGGTCGACTGGCCATCTGCAGGCGCAGGGTGAGGTTGGCACAGGGTGGGGCCGCCGCTTGGAATGTGCTGACCCCCTCCTCTGCGACCAGCGTCGCCGCTCACTACTGCGGCACTGACACCAACCTGGTGGACGGCAAAACGCAGCAAAACACACAAGTCCAACATCCCAAGACCCAACAAGACCCCCTGAGACCTGACAGGCTCCCCAGCCATGGTCGCTCGCGCGGTCGCCCTCACCTGCACTTGCCGCGGCTCCGCCGCCCGCCAGCGCCGCCGCCTCTTCCTCGTTGGCGAACACGACGTCCACCAGGCCGGCCTCCAGCAGGCCCAGCAGCGTATCCCGGCAGGCCGCCACCACCTCAAATGACGCCAGGTCCAGTGACACCAGCGCGCCCGCGGCCCTGGCGGCCGCCATGGCCTCCCGAACGACGCTGGGCTTGTACAGCAGGTAGCCCTCACAGTGCAGAAGTGCGGGCCCCGCGTTCCAGCCCTGCGGCAGCTGCGAGCAGCTTGTAAGCTCCGCCGCCGCACCGAGGCACGTGCGCATCGTCCGCTGGCCGTCGGGCGTGACCAGGCAGACGCAGCGCGCTGTCGGGGCGCCAGTGGCGCTCTCCTGGGGGGCGGGGTAGAGGGGTAAGGCGAACGATGGAGCACGTGTGAGCGCGTGGGGTGCGGTGCAAGGGGGAGACTCGGCACTCGCCCGAGAGCCGTGGTGCAATGAAGCTGAGATTGCGACAGGCGCCCCCAGATGCTGGACTCGCGTCATTGCGGCAACATTCAAACGCAGCCCCTGTAGAGAACAGGCCCCAGAACATCTGCCGGATGCCGCCAACCAATTTACACGTTTGGGCGCCCACCAGCAGCAGGGGCTCCACGCCACGCTCCAACAGCTGCTCGGTGTAGAAGGTCCCGGCTTCATCGGCGCCCACCATGCCCATAAATTGCGTCAGCAGTGTGCCGCCAGACACTCCCGCCAGGCCTTTCATCACGTTTGCCGCGCTGCCGCCCGGCACCCTGCAATCATGTGCGCGACAGGGTCAGCCTCAAGGTCTCTCAAGAACTGACACGCTGTTGGCTTGAAACATGCCAAAATGCTCTCCGAAGTGCTACGACTGCGCTGCCCTACAACCCCCCTCTGGCCTCACCGAGTGGAGGGCGCTTGGGCCGCCGTCGTGTCCAGGAGCGACTGCATTTCCGAGGGTGACACCAGCATGCAGCCACCCGGCTGTGCGCCAATGCGTTCCAGGAGATCTGATTGGAAACCGGGTCAAAGGGGGCGGGGGTGCCAGACCTATCACCACCCCTGGCACTGCATGCACAGGCTCTGTGCGCTGCAGCGGCGGCAGCGCCGACGCACGGAATGCACCTCGTAGCCGTCCAGCTTACTAGCTCACCAGAAGGTACGTCGCAGCAGATATCCATCACGGGGTCTCCTAAACCCACAACTTTCTTGACGGTGTCGCTCGCCATTTCGCACAACAACGAAAGGAGCGCGCAGCCGACCCGTTGCACCGATACCAATGAAGATGGATGATGATAATTTCATGCGGGGGCTAGCTTCAAGCAGGGCATTCAGACACAGGCCGTGGTGCGCGGTTGGCCACAGGGGAGACACAATAGTCCTCGTTTGCGTAACAACCAAAGACCATTCGATAACTAAATTACAGGGATGCCACGGCGCGGATGCCTTGTGGCCAGCGCGCGCAGGCCGCATGACTGCCTGCTCTGATTCCGTTGCTGCATGTCGTTCCGAAAACGCAGCAGCTGTGCTGCTTGCTGGGTGGGGCCTCCTAAGCGAATGGCGACATTTTCCAGGGGCGCTGCCACGTACCAGGGGCCAAGGTGCTCCAGCAGGGCGACGCCAGTGCATTGTCGAGCGACATGGACCGCGCTTGCAGGGCGGGCAGGTGCAATCCAGGGGGTGGGGGGGGGGGACGAGTTGTTTCAAAAGCTGCATTGTGCCGAGCCGTTGCCTTCGACCCAGGGGTGTCATGGCACTTTGATGGCCATCGGTGGCCTCTGCGCGCAGGCGTGCCAGGAGGCGTTTTGACACCTGCAGCTGCGCGTGTACCCTGCCGCGCCCCCCCTGGGTCCTTCCTTGCCCCAGTCCCGTGCATCAGGCAAACTTCCCTGACAATACTCCGCCACGGAGGAATTGTAGAACATGATTGGTGGCACTGACGGCTGTGCCTGCTACCGGGCTGCCAGCTCATTGGGCGGCAAGCAGGAGTTGATGTCCCCTTGATCCTGGGCGATGCTACCGGCCATTGTAGCTACCTTGATTTGTGCTGCTGTGCGCTTGGCAACTAAAGTGCCCCCACACTCCATGCAGAGTGCGTGATTTGCTTGCTGCAACGATCCAGGTTAAACCTTTGCAACATTGCATTTGTCAAACCTCCATATTACCATAACCGCAGCATGCGGCAATCAAGGCGTCAAATCCCGTCATGCAATTGGTCCACCCACTAGCTGCTGTGCATGTGACTTGAAACAAGGCACCTGCGAATGCCCTGGTCCCTGCATCTGGATTTGCCTCCGTGCATCAGGCTTACTGTGGGGTTGACGCCTACGGGGATTGGGGGCGGCCATTGGTTGCAGCGAACACACTGCCCCTGGCGCGCCAATCTGCGTGTTGCTGCGTTCGCTGTCCAGCAAGAGGACAGACCTGGCCTGATCAAATACAAATCGCTGGGCTCTTCCATGGGCCCCACGCCCAGTTCACGTCCTGGTGCCCGCCGTCGGTATCTGCCGCCACCAAGGCCTATGCCAGCAATCTGGGGCCCCCTGTCTGTAGAGCAGACGGACAGATCAGCTGCGGAGGCGAATGCTGAATGGTGCATGGGGCTGTCAGCGGGGTTGAGTGTGGGGGGGCACCTTCAGGGTTTTGCAGCCCCTAGGCTGCGCCTTCCATGAGGCAATCACCACCTGCTTTGTGACTGCCAGTGCGCTGTGTAAAGCCGTGTCAACATGGTGTGGATGGCCTGTGCATGCGCGAGGTGAGGAGGTGCCGTGAGGCAATGCGCTGAGCTCTTCTGGACCAGAGTCAATACGTGATCCATCAGCCTTGCCAGCAGCTCGCCGCCGCAGCCGTTTGCACCCAGGGCCAAGACCGTGACTGGTGATGGTGAATGGATTATAGCAGGCCAGCATTCCGGGTGCAATGCAGGCAGTGGTGGGTGGGTGCCTGTGGAGCTGCTTGCGTTGGTAGTGGGGCTGCATGGGGTGGCGCGTGGGCACTGCGCTTTTGCCTGGCTTTGGGTGGCTTGCTGCCGGGCTCACACTTGCCGCATAGCTCCCGATATGGACTCTATTCACGTGAGTGATGCAGGTGGAGGGCGTGGCCTGCGACGCGTCATATTGTGGAACGGCGTTTCCTCACCACCCTGGTATCCGTCCTTGAAGGGGCCTGCCGGATTCTGACCCCCTGCTGTTGCCCATGAAGGGGCCAGCGATCGGGCGGCTGACCGAGCACATTTCCATGCCCGTGACGACACTGCCTGACCCGGACCAGCGGCCCGCCCACATCAGGCGACCTTGTCGGGTGCTGTGGTGGCGCAGCAACGGCAGAGTGACACCTATGAAAGCAAACATCGTTTGATCAAGCAGCTGGCCATCGACACTGTTAAATTGCATACCGGTACGATACCTTCTTTGTTTGCCAGTGTTGCGTCTGGGCCACACACGACGCAGGCACCGCTCGATCTCTTTCTGACAGCGGCCTCGTGCGTTGAGCATCAGCAGCGGCACTGGGAGCTGAGGGTGCGTTGTATCAGCACGTAGTAATACGTTGCTACTTAACATCCAGCCTGTCGGCGGGCCCAGTTTGCCGCACACTGCGCTGCTTTGCCCCTTGGCCGCATGCAATGATGCATCCGCCAACTTTTGTTGCAGCCCGCCCACTTGGCATTGGACAGCAATTCCTGGTGAGGCTGCTGTCTCAGAGCTTCAGCAGCCGTTGACGTGGCGCCCTTTCTGCCGTTGCGCAGGCCACCATGGCCATCCCGTCCGCCCTGAACAGAGCTCTGGATGTCGCCCACAAGGTCACCGTGGGCGTCCTGATCACAAGCGCGGTCTACTTTACCTTGGAAATTGGCCGTGCTACATGGGCTATCTCGGGGCACAATGCTGAAACGCGACAGCAGGACAAGTCAGCAGCGGCAGCAACACCCGCTGCGGATAGCAGTTGAGCAAGTTGCATCCCTTACGTCTGCAAGGTTGCGAGCCCTCGCGTCCCTCCTTCAGGACAAAGATGCCCATTGCCTGTGTACCTTCATGCTGGCGCCCAGCTTGTTGTCTGTGTTGAACGCATCAGGCGCTGGGTCTCCGCGCCTAGCTCTGCGGCCACTTAATCTGTAAAAGTTGTGTAACTTGCCGATTGTGCATCTGATTGGAATTCACTCACGAGCTGCCATATTCAACAACAAAATCGGCCGTCGATGGTGAGGTCAACAGTTGGGTCGCACCGAGCACAAGTCTCTCAAGTGGGGTTGAAAATGCAAAGTTGGGGAACGGACACTGTGATGCCCATGCCCTCAGTGCAGGCCCGTGAGGGTGTTGAAGTACAGCTGGTCGAGGTAACCCGTTGATTGAGCGACCTGCAAGCAGGGCAAAAGGGGCAGCCGCCGGAGAGAATGCTGGTTGCTGCTCAGATCAGGCAGTGGTAACACATGATCAGAGCGCCCCAGCAGGAACAGGACATGACAAAACAGACCAGCCTGCTGCTGATTGTCTCACTGCTCCTGCAGACTGATCCTCATCGCCGCTGCCGCTCTACCCTGAGCTATGCCTTGGCAATGCTCGCCCTGTCATATGCACCCAAACAGAGCGGGCCCTCACCACGAGGATGATGAACGGGGGCAGCGCAAACAGTGCCAGCACGCCCAGCAGGAACGGCCGGTCGTCGCGCGCTGCGTCGACCTCCATGCGCTCCTTGCGCTTCTGCTGCCGCTGCTCCACCGCCGTGGGTGTGCGGCCCTGCGCAGCCGTCTCACGGTACTGCCGCGCCAGGCGTTCGCCGATGGACTCCCCTGGAGGGCCGTCCACGGAGGCCAGCGGGCTCGTTAGATTGCTGCCTGCGTTGCTGCTGCTGCTGCTGGTCGCGGGCAGGCTGTCGCCGTCCAGAATCCCAGGAATGGGGCCGTCCCATTTTTCGAATTCCAGTGTGATGGTGTCTGCGCTCCTCATCCGCATCAGCTCGCGGATGTTCTTCAAGGACGGCCTGGCAGGCGGCGTAAGGCGGTGACGAGTGCACAAACTCTTGCTTGGCAGATGGTGCAAAGCGTTTAGGAGTGCAGCAACAAGCCCAGCACCATGGTAGTAAAGCCAAGCGACCCGACTGCCTTACTTGATCAGCGGCACACTGGCTGAAAGTCCCACCTGTCCTGCAGCCTCCAGACCTCGTAGGCGCGGATCGGATCTGATATGGCCGTCAGCCGCATGCCTGGCCGCACACCCGCCTGCGTAGGAAACAGGGAGCCATAAGCTACATGGGCTGTGATGCTCATGCCCAAGGCTCTGGACAATGCACGTCTTGGCGGATGAGGGAGGGCAATAAATGGAGCACGTGTACTGCACCACGCTATCGCTGCACATACAGCGCTGTGAACATACCTCCTCTGCCTCACTGTTGTCTGCAACGGCGACGGTAATGATGGCCTGCCCAAAGCCCATGGGTGCAACATCAAACTTGATGCTGCGGCGCGCCCCTACAGTGTCGAGCTCAACCCTTTGGGGCCACATGGGAGCAAAGATGGCAAAGGATGAAAGTGGTTTTGTGTCGTGGCAGCGCTTCCCACATTGTCCTCTTGCAAGCGGCGGACTCCTGCTGATGGGCAATTGCTGATGTGGCGTGCAACACCGACCCTCTCATGCTGGGGCCACGCGGGACCCTCGCACCTGAACGGGCCCTCAGACAGGCTGGTGGCTGCGCCAGCCGATGCAGCCGCGCCATCTTTGGCGCTTTCCACCTTTTGCAGCCCTCCCACGCGGCGGCTACGGCACGCCATGCCCCATGACGGCACACGTTCCCATGCAGTGCACTGTGGGGCGCCCAGCATGCGCCGCGCTCTGGGCGCGCGGGCCAGTGCCGGATGCAAGCTAGTCGCATTGACAGTGCGGGCGGGCGCTGCTGCATAGCTCCGCATGATGGCTGATCCGCAAAACAATGAGCGTTGCGTTGTTGGACTTGTAGATTGTTTCTTCTGTGCACCACTCTGCTATCATATGCCTTTTTCAGACTGTGTTTTTTGATGTTTAAATAAACTGTGGCACTTTGCGTCCTTCCAAGCATTGACGAGTGCTGTGATCTGGGATCCGCGGTCTCTGCGCGCCACAACCAGCTTTACCGTGCGAGGCATCCCATCAATGTACAGGCTGGCAAAGATCTACAGAGACACATAGATCATTGCGATGGCAGCAGTGGATGGCGCCGCAGCCGCCCCTCCTCAGCGGCCCCGCGTTGGCCTCGGCGTTTTTGTGGAGCGCGACGACGGCGCGTTTTGCCTGGGCCAGCGGTATGTCCAGTGGGATCGCATCTTTCTGTCAAGGTGCACACAGCCGGCTGAGCTCCACCTGCCAATACCTCATGACCAGGATCAACTCCCTGGGCCACGGCGAATGGGCGCTGCCCGGAGGCCACCTGGTGAGCTCTGCACATGGCCCACATGAGACCAGCGGCCAAAACTGACAGCTGATAAACAATCGGCCATCACACATGCTTGCCATCTGCAGGAGCACGGAGAACAATTTGAAGAATGCGCAGCCCGCGAGGTGGGCAGGAAGGGGTACCATGCTGTTGTTGAGGCTGCAAGATGAGCCCGCATGCAGGCACGAGCGTGGGCAGCCGCGGGCCAGCGTGGATTGCACCCAGCCCGTCCACAACATAATAAAAAGCATCAGGCACTGGCTATGACAGCAGCAGCAGCAGCAGCAGCAGCAGCAGCAGCAGCAGCAGCAGCAGCAGCAGCAGCAGCAGCAGCAGCAGCAGCAGCAGCAGCAGCAGCACATTCTAAGCCCCTTTGCATGTGTGTTGACGCGGCCAGGTGGAGGAAGAGACTGGGCTGGTCATCACTAACGTTTCATTGGCAGCGGTGGAGAACGTGGTGTTCGAGGGCGGTGCTGCACACTATGTGTAAGCGTCCTGAACCCTGGGCGCGGGCGGATTATATCGCGCACATGCAAACCTGAAGGCATGGATGATGCCTTGGAGGTTGGGAGCCGAACCCCATCGCGCCAATGGCCCGCATAGTCCATACGCGGCCCCCCGCCAGTACCTGTTGCCGCAAATCGCCCTGCCTGCTTCCGCACCCCTCCTCCAGGGTAATCTTCATGCGGGGCAAGGCGTCGCCGGGTTCAGAGCCTCGTGTTCTCGAGCCCACCAAGTGCACCGTCTGGCGATGGGCAACGTGGGATGACCTGCCGCAGCCGCTGTTTCAACCGCTCAGGCAGCTGGCTGCACGCGGTTTTTGCCTGCCGCAATGCACACCGGGGCCCATTGTCGCGGCTGATTAACTGCATGTTGCTGTTCGTGATACGGCGCTGGTGTTCTGCATCTTTCCCTTTGTGCCCTCAAGGACCTTTCAACGGCAAACGGTGTTGTCTTCTGCACAGCGCATGAGTCTATATGTACTTCACTCGTGCGATGCACACAAGCTACCAAAGACCACCATGTGGGGCCACGCGTTGTCCGTGGCGAGTGGTGCCACTGCAGCGTGGCAGTGCTCCAGGCAGAGTCACCTGCAGGCTCAGTGTGCAGGGTCAATGGCAGTGTGCCGCATCTGTCTGCAATTCTTGCAACAAAACTGGGCTGCTGCAATTTTCCGTTTTGCAGCGCCCTCTCACCCTCAGTACACGAGATCCAGACACCGGCACGCCGATGGGCTGCGGACGAGGCGCGCATTGGGCCAAGGGGCAGCGCTTCTGGCGGCGACATGAGGGGCTGCCCAGTCATGTCTGGCAAGCTGCAGCTTCCAGCTGATGCACTCGACTGTACCGGCTCGCTTTACCACACATGCATGCACGCACGCGCGCCAGCACACGCACGCGCACTCGCACATGCAGGCGCACACATGCACACGCAAGCACGCACGCACGCACGCACGCACGCACGCACGCACGCACAACCCTGTTCAGCCCTTAAGGACAATGTAAAGCTGTCCTCCTGCTGGCCCTGCGCCTGCCCCCCATTCAACGCCGCGCGCACCGCAATCGGACACCCCTGAGGGCCCGCGGCGTCAGTGACTCAGTGACGACACCACGAGTCTGTCAACAGGCAGCTGAAGGCTCGTCTCTTATCGCAATTGATTTATTATTACGTGCAATTTTCATGGTCGCAATAAAGTCTATACGGCGTGCATGCACCGATCTGTGTGCGCAGCTCACAAAACCGGCGAGCACGTACTCAGCAAGCGGGCTGCGTGGCGTAGTGTCGTATGAAATCTTTTGCGGGGACGAGTGGTGGGAGCTTCTTCAGCCCTGTCGCTCCTGGCCGACGCACACTTTTCTGCTACGCCGCTGCTGCCTGGCCGCCCAAGCCAACAGCAAGCGTCAACATGGCCCGCGCCACAGCAAGCGACGAGCATGCAGCCGAAAGTGCCCAGGGGCTGCTGCACCTCCTGGCCGATGCCCATGCCCACCCCCAGCTAGACCAGGACCATCTGGCCCGCTTGGCGGGGCTACGAGTGCCGTGCGTCGCAGCGATGGGCGTCGCTGCAAACGTTGACTGGAGCATCATGGAGAAGCTGGCAGGAATGGCAGGTGTGTGGGTGCATTGGGGACCATGTTGACATAGACAGCGCCGCTAAAACCACAGTTCCTTCCCCCAAGGTTTACAAGGCACCGTCCTTGGGAGTGGATTCGCTGAGCTTGAACAAGCGCAACCCCTTTCGCCGTGGCGTGTGTCACTTGCAGGGCCTCCCAAAATTATCCCTGGGTTTGGCATTCACCCGTGGGTGGCCGGTGGGGGCATGGGTGAAGACATTCAAATGGTGTGGCAGCATGCAGGAGTGGGGGGAGGGGACGACTGCAGCCCTCAGACTGGGCGGCAAGCGCGCCTTTGAGCATGGCACATCCGAAACCACAACCGTGTCCCAGGCTGTCAGCTGGCCCTCCGCTCGCTCGGTGTCGCTGGATTTCGGCACCGCTTGTGGTCTACCCAGCAAAACTGCGTGTCAAACCTCAACAAACTCCCTCTGCCTCCACCGAACCAGGTGGTGGGCCCACCTGCATGCGTCTGAGCTGGGCTCAACCTGGGAGGAACTGCTGGAGGGGCCCAGTCCTGAAGAGGTGGCCAGGGCAGTAGCGCTGCTGCAAGACGAGCGGCAAAAGAAGCGGCGTGAGCAGCAGGGGGATTGCTGTGCTGCGGCTGATGCGGCAGGGGGGTACGAGGCCGGCGGGCCGCAGTCGCCCCCTGAGGAGGATGGCGGTGGCAGTGGCAAACAGGCTGAGAAGGGGTGCGGCTGCCCCAGCAGCATGGTACCGGCCACCAGCAGTGCTGCGGCCCGCCACAACGGCGTCAGCAAGGAGGAGGACCCTTACGACCGCAGCACCGGCAGCAGCAGCAGCAGCACGGGCAGCAGCAACAGTATCAGCGGCGGCAGCAACAGCAGCAGTGCTGCCACCTGTAGCGACAGCGGTGGCCCCTTGGCCATCGTGCCCCACGCATCCTGGCATGCGCGCCTGCGTGGCCTGCTGTCCGCCTACCCCCACGCGCTTGTGGGGGAAATTGGCATCGACCGCGCCGCCGTGATACCGGGCAGCCGTGCGCGTGTGCGGTTCGACCATCAGCTTGCGCTGCTGAGGGAGCAGCTGGCCCTGGCCGCAGAGCTCAGCCGCCCGGTCAGCATACACTGCGTGCGCGGCTACGGCCACCTGCTGCAGCTCTTTGCGGCGCTGCCGGCCAGCGGCGCCGGCTGCCCGCCCGCGGTGATGCTCCACAGCTATGGCGGCAGCCCCGAGGATGTGGCGCGGTTCTGCCGGCTGCCGGGCATTGGGCGGCGTTTCTTCTTCAGCTTCTCTGCAGCCATTAACGCGCGCGCCCCTGACAAGCTGGTGGCCCGCGTGCGTGCAGTGCCAGATGACCGGTTGCTGGTGGAGAGTGATCAGGTGGGGCACAGTGGTTTGCTGATGGGTGTAATTGCTGATGACGAGGGACAGTGCACGGGCGGCCATGGTGCCCAACATATCCCACTGCAAGTTGAGCATATGCGTGCTGGGACACACCTGTTCCGCCCTGCACGCACATGCTCAAGGTGGTCGGTCCCCCAATCACAATGGTCCTACTCCCTGCTCCCACCTCAACCAGGTGTCCGCTCTGCTGGTGGAGGGAGGGATGGCAGACATTTGCTACATCGTGGCAGGTGCAAAGGGCTGGGGCCTGGAGGAGGCAGCTCGACGTACACTGGAAAACTTCAATGCATTTTATGGGACCACTGTGTAACCGCGAAGCCCTTCAATTTGGCAGATGATTGCTAGAATCCGTAAACATTTGGAGGCTCAGCTCTGCAAAAGTGGGTTTCCAGGCCCTGGAATTGAGTTGGACAAATGGCACAGCACTATGCTTCGTAGCTGTTAGTCCCCGTTGCTCAAAGGGTTCAGCAGGGGAGGAGCCATCATGGACGTCGGCGACATGCCGCTGCTCATGAGCTCAAGTTCTGGAACCCATGGGATTTTCACATTGCCGCCTGGTATCTTACCAGAGATCAAATTCTTTCATGAGGTCAAGTTGACCTGCAGCAGTCATCAATTCGGCGCCATATCCTGTGTGAACCTCCTCCCCGCAACCTGTACTGATGGCCAGTCTTAAGAGCCGATACGCATTAGGTCGACGAGAGCAGTGCTGCAAGCAAGGCGACAGCACCACCGTACGCTCAACTGAGAGCACGCCTGCATCGTTTCAGAGGTGCGCTCGCATGCACAGCAGCAGCGAGTCCGTCCAGCTGCTGCGCCCGCACCAAAGCAAAGGGTTACCCAGGATGAGATATGCTTCGCGGGTTGGAGGTGAGCCCAGAGAGTCAGATTTGTCAGGAAGGTGGGACGCGGCACGTGGGCGATTGATGGGTGTGAAGAGCTGCAGTCAACACGAACAGGACGTGGCTATGATAGGTCGCTCTCACATACATCAGCAGCCCTTGCACATGTCACAAATCAATTACACAACATCCCTGCGGTTCGTAAGCAATCCCGAGTCTCCTAAGGGAGTCCCGTGTGTTTTGCCTGAAGTGCTGATCTCAACCACGCACTTTGCCTGCTAATCAAGCGCATCTGCAGGCTCTGTTACACCCGCTAGATTCCCCGGTTCAGCAGCCGGCTCCATGGCGAGCCTCCTGGCAGCGTCAAGGATGGGCATGTCTCACGCCTGGGCGTCCTACTGCGACCACCTCGTGAAGCGGCCTTTGATCACCAAGGTTATCACGGGTAAGCACTGCCGCGGGCCCTGTTGCGTGTGCATGGCGGCTGCTGCCGCTTGCTGTTTGCTCACAGCTGCCTGTTGATGACGTGTGCGCCCATGACACGTGGCCGCGTTGCTGCGGCATGACCTTTGAGGTGTCTGTCAACTGCATCACCGCACTGCAGGCGTTGTGGGAACCATTGTGGGTGACGGCATCGCGCAGGCCACGTCGCACCTGTCTGCGCGCCGAGTTGCGCGGCCCGGGGCGCGCAAGCCACGCTTCCAGTACGACTGGGCACGTGCCGCGCGCCTGTGTGCCTATGCCGCGTGCCTTGGAACCCCTATCGGCCACTACTGGTTTGCTTTCCTTGATAAGGTGCGGTCACAACAGGGGGGTTTTGCACGATTGACCCTTGGCCCTTGGTCGCTGGGTTGGAAACCAAGGTCATGTGATGCCAGCTCATGATCAGGGGGCTCGGCCGCTTATCGCTCCCCCCGCCCCTTGCCCTGATTTGCATAAACCTGCAAAACAGGCTGTGTTCCCGACGCGCATGGGCCATCCCTTGACCGCTGTGCTGAAGATGGGGCTGGATCAAGCCTTCATGGCCCCGGCGGGCATGGTGCTGGTGCGCACCTCAGCAGGGGGGTCGTGGCCCGAGGGGTTTGGCATGCATGCAGGGGGGTTCGGCATGAGTGCAATCGCACACCCTTTTCAATCCCCCAATGTTGTATGCATGGGTCATGCTCACAAGTGGACCCTTGTGTCCTCACCTTTCCCTGGCAGTTCTTCCTGTCCATCAGCCTGATGGAGGGCAAGCCCCTGCAGCAGGCTGTTGGGGTGGTGCGGGACAAGTTCGTGCCCACGATGATCGCCAACTACATGGTGCGTGCGTGCGTGCGTGCGTGCATGCGTGTGCGCTGCGAGGGAAGAGCTCACGCGCCGGTGTGCGGGAGGCGTTCTGTCGAGAGCAAAGGGGTTGGCGGAAACATGCAGCTGCCGTGTGCAGAGGTTGTCCAGCTGAATCCTGCATTTGCGCGGTGGTCTTTCTGACCCTGTTTCTACGGCACCTGCACTTCCCTCTCCAGCTGTGGCCTGCTGCCCAGGTGGTCAACTTCAGGTTCGTTCCGCCCGAGCAGCGCATCCTTTACGTTAATGGTGAGACCCCAGCGAAGATGGGGGGGGGGCAGGTCAAGACAGTTTGATTGACTGAGCAGGGATGGCAAAGGTGTGGTGAGGGGGAGGGAGATATACACGTTGGCTTTGCTGCTGCTCTTTGATGCCTCTTGGCGGCCGCGGAGATGCTCATGCCTGGACTGTTGCTGCAGTCCACGAGGCCAACTCACTTCCCTCAATTTTCAACCTTGATATACGTATCTCTATCTACCCTCTCGCCTGCCCTCGCAGCCATCTACATCGGCTGGGTCAGCTTCCTGGTGCGTAGCCTTGTGCATCACCAGAACTGCCATAAACATTGTTGCATTGCCGCTGCAAGGATGTATGTTCCTGATCGCACAATATCTCTGATCCTTGGCAATTTCCAACCCTTTGCTTTGATGCTTCTCTTCCCCACCTTAATCCAGTCCTCCATGGCGGCAGCCGACACCCAGTCCATCAAAGTGGGCGGGGGTCGGCGGGAGGCGGGGCGCCAGGGCCCTGATGACCTGGCGTACGGGGTGAAAACAGAGTGAGAGAGTCCAGTGTGGTTCTCCTGGCCCCTCGAGTGGGTGACAAGGGAGGCCGCACGGGGTGTGGGCAATGGTTTTTTTGTGGCCGGCAGTGTTTTGTTGCGTCGAAGCATGTGGGCCGGATCCAGCCGCAGCAGGTGTTGCCCCGTCAGCTATGGTGGCTGCCTTGCAGTGAAACTTGTCTCATCTCTCAGGCCCCCCTTTCAAAGATGGTCATTTACCCGTGCCGGTCTAAAGGCGCCGCTTGGGCGATGCAGGCACATAGATGCCACTTTTTTGGTGTGCAGCGGGGCGTTTGCTCCCTGTGGTGTTTTTTAACTGATGGTTGTTTTGGCACATGACAAGGGACTACCAAACCCGCGGCGTGCTGGGGAACCAAGCGCGACTGGTAGGTTGCCCAGGGCTTGGCTGCCCAGGACGCATGGCCTGTGCCTGGTGTGAGCCCGCCTTGGTTCTATGCGGCATTGCAGCAGGCTGACTCTCGCTTTCTTGTGCGTTCCCAGATTGTTGTGCTTGCTCCTCATGCAGCACAACTCCTCTTTTCGCAACGTCCCTAGCTGTAGCCGTACTGATAGAACCACAGACAACAGTCCTCTTGCAACTGCGGCGGGTGCATTGTATACATTCAGGAGCCATGCTATCTCTCATCCTGTTTGTCTCGCATGGTGTCGTACACCACTTAGCCAGTTAGCCTTGTGTGCATGAGCGTGCCAGGATGGAGTATGACCACAAGCATGCCTTTGCCTGTTGCTGTAAAGCAGGAATCTCACCTGAGGGTCGGCATCATGGGGGGGTGGGGGGCTGGGCCGTGCTCTTACAGTTACGCTTCACATCTGATGCGGTTGCAGTGCTGCTCAAAATGCTGCGGCAACCTTTCGTATCCCATTCTATCCGTTGAAATCTGATCCTATTCACTCTTCTCCTGTACTATGATATTTTACAATGTCCTTCTGCAATTTGTCTGTGCACGGCACGGACAAGGTGTAGCTGAGTCTATCATAAGCACAAGCAGGGGCTGTTGCTGACTGAGAACGCCGAACGTCGGAAGATGCTCTGGGACTCAGGGTGTCACATTGGCCAAGCCCGCGCTTCTTTGATGCAGGTGTTTCACGACACATCAATTGCTTGTGATTAACGCATATTACCTCGCTGCCGATCAGATCAATCCAGAGCGGATCTCCACGGTTGCAAGTTCGGTTGTGTACGCTATGCAGGCGATAAAAAATATCCACGCACGTTCCGCGCTGCTGCAGCGAGCCGGCACACACAGGCTCAGGTGCTTCGCGCACCGTGCGACGCCTGGTGGCGGTGCTGCCCGCCGCGGCTCATCCGACACGATTCGTGACACGGCCAGCTGGGCCCTCATTTCTGCGGGAGTTGCATCCACCGACTCAGCAGCAGCCCCAATGCTGGCGCGTGGCACCTCAGCCCTCGCCGCCGTGGCCTGTGCGGCGCTGTGCCTGGTGGCGCCGGTGGATGCAGCAGGGACGAGGACACGGCAGCCGCCTGTAACGCAGGAGGCTGGCCGCTGCGAGATAGCGGCGCTCGATAAGTTTGCTGACACCCGCGCTACCTTCTCTCAGGAGGCGTCTGGTACGCACACACCCGCGCATGCGTGTGTGAGCGTGGGTGGGAAGGGGGAGGGGCCCGAGGGCAGAGCACTCACACACCTCCCAACTTGGCAACATGGCAGCCAATTTGTGTGCATCTGCATGCTTGCTAGATGGGGCTATTAATTGAGTAGCTATACCGGTTTCCCAAACGTCCAGGCCATTGTCTTGGTTGGAAGAGCTCTGCGCCACCCCTGCGACCCCCTGCGGTGACACCGTGCAGGCGGCAACATGGCCGAGGCGGTGGTGGACATAAGGGATTGCGATTTCAGCGGTCAGGACCTCAGTGGCAAAGTGTTTTCGGGTGTCCTCTTGCGCGGAGCCAACCTGAGCGGTGGCAAGGTCGTCGGCAGCCAGTTTGCGCGCGCAGACGCACAGGTGCAGGCCTCGCATGCGGGACTGCGCTGATTGTGGGATACCAGCCACAAGTATTATGTGCATCCTTTTACCAACGCACAGGCACAGTCCTTGTGACCATTTGGTGGATATCTATGCCGGCGTCAAGAGCCCAGCGCCCCTGCTGGTGCGCCACATCTCGACCCAATCACTTGAAACCCTCGCCATTGCTGCTGCCCAGGGCGCCCTGCTGGACGGGCTGGACCTGACAGACACCAACTGCTACGGGTATGAGGCTGGACTGAATGCTGGGTACCCCATCACACGCTGTGCCCGACACATTGTCGTGCATTGCCATCATACTTCTTGCGCCCAGAAGCAATAATGCCTGCCGTTGCGCAACTGCAACTATCCCGCAGCACGGCTTTTGATGGCGCATCCCTGCGCAATGCACAGGTGAGTCAAGATCATGGGTACAGCCATTGACAAATTGGAGTTGCTTGTTCCTGCGCGCGCTGCCTCCCCCTCCTTTGACCAGCATGTGACATGTGCTGCCATTCGCCCTCGCTGTCGCGTGCAGTTTGAAAACGCGATTCTGACAGCGGCATCCTTTGGCAAGTCCCCCGTCACGGGCGAGGTGTGCAGGAAGAATGGAGACCCATGTGTCACGGCTGTCGGGGCTTTCCTGGGTGTGCCAGACGATGGTTGTCGCAGCATGTTGGGCCGTAATTTGCATGGGACATGCCTGTCGTCATCATATCACACCTCTGGTAATCAAATCCAGCTCAAACCAACGATGCTTCTCCACCTGTAACTTCATTTTTATGCAGTGGGCCGACTTGGCGGGGGCCCACTTTGAGGGGGCGCTGCTGTCCAGCTCAGACATTGGGCGGATTTGCGAAAACCCGGTGCGTTCGTTGTCAGATGTGGGGGTACTTGTGATCGAATGATGGGAAGCATTAAGATGAACCGCAAAGCTCGCTAGCAATCACTCTGCCTGTAGCTTACGTGCGACTGGCTAGCTGCCCTCCCATTGCTCTGCCTTTTTACACTCACCCCTCCACGTGCAGACCCTGGATCAGGACACCCGGGACTACGAGCTGGGCTGCCGCCGCTCAGCCAAGTAGTTCTTGTATTCCTGACCCTGTGATTGTGCGCCTGGTTTTGTAACACGTTTGATGATTATTGGCAATCGCTCCCACCGGACTAACGATACCAATGATTGTATCTGGTAAAAGGTTGCGGCGTGTTTCAGCTGCTGCAGGGGCTGGGACCGGGCGGCTGCGTCCCTCCATGCGCAAAGGCATAGGCTGCATTAAATCATGCAAAAGGGGAAGGCAAAGCGCTGCGGCCATGAGGGTCATGGATCTAAAGGTCAGGTATCCATGAAGGTTCGGCCTGAGCACAGGCCAGCAGTGGCCTCCATAGGGCAAAGCCATGTTGGCGCACGCGACAAGATACAGGATCAACCGCCTGGTTGAAGTGCCCAAACCACTTGATTGGGACTGAGCATTCCACGGGGATCGCGTACAGGAAGAGTGTTGGCAGCCATGCCGCGGCTGCTTCACGCTGCGCCGTTCACGCACACAATTATTGCCTGCTGCTACCTGTGTTGTATCCTGCTGGGCCTATAAACGTGGATGCTGATTCGCAGGCCTGCGTCTTGAGGAAGTACAACGAGCACAAGCACCGCCCTGATACCGCGATCTTTACCGCCCAAACATCACCACTTTACGTGCCACGCTGGTGCCCCCTTCCCAGGCGGCAGTGGCACCATATTGCGCCGCCTGTTGAACGATGCCAACCTCAAGTGGCCATGCTGCATCTTTTTGTAGCTGTTGCTCTAGGCACCAAGCACGAATGTCATTGAGACGGCTGTCCTGCCCGCTGCTGCTGCTGCTGCTGCTGCTGCTGCTGCTGCTGCTGCTGCTGCTGCTGTGGCAGCGCCGGCAGCGCCTTTTGTTGGTGCGGCTGCTGTAGCTGGCCATTGCAACCCTGCTGGTGCTGCTGCTTCGCTTCTGCTTTCAGCAGTCGCATGAGTGGCGCCAGCCGCTTGTGCGCATAGGCAGGGCAGGCGGCCACCTCCTCGCGGCAGACCCATGTCACCTGCTGCAGCCTGCAGGTTTTGGCAACATGCAGAAACGACACAAAGCGAGCTGTGATGAGAATGTAAAATGCATTTATACCAAGGCACTATCCCGACGGGCAGCATCCCCATGACGGCGCAAGGCAAATACCCTGTAACGTCCTCTCAGGTCACCAAGCCGTCTGCAGCCCCACCAGCTGCTGGTGTCCGGCGGCAGCGTGGGGCGGCCTCCTTCCGTGATGCCCTTGATCTCATCAAAGCGTGCCTCTACCAGCCGTCGAATGGGCTTTGTCTCTCCTTGCAGCATGTTAAGGGATTGCTGCAAGGCATGACACAATAGGTAAAGGGGCATTCAAGATCAGATCAACCTCATGACCGGTCCTTTGTTCAAGCCAGTATCTCACTCTCAAGAACTTGCGTCTGCAAGCCCGATGGACCCGCAGCTTTCCCTCATTTACTTCCATAGGACAATCGTCAGTATGCCCGATTGTTTCCCCTATCGAAACTCACGTAAAGCAGTGCAATCTGGTGGGCAGCGTACTTGTGGTGCTGCGGTACCAACGCATCGTTGTACAGCTGCGTGCCCATCATCACCACCTGTCAAGGCAACCAGGTGGGCCAGGTATGTCACCCTTTGAGAACCATTCATGCGCAATGCGAGGTGCACGCATGCAGTTGTTGGGCCTGTTGCATGCCCATAGAAGCGCGCGTTGAGCATGCTGGATGACACCACTAAGCACCTCTGCTTGGTTGCCAACACTCCCTCCACATTGCAAAGCCTTTGCATCATCGTACCTGGTTGAGCAGGGACACATATGTAAGGTAGGCTGCACCTGCCTGCTGCACCCCAGGGCCCCATTGGTGGCCGCACATGAGCGCCGCCAGATACGGATAGAAGTCGAACACACCTAGAGCGGCCAATGTGTCGGCCGGCTTCTGCTGCGGCGCCAGCATGCGGCACAGCACCTCCAGGCGTGCAAGGCGCTGCTGCTGTGTAAAGTGGGCCCCCTTGACCTGGGGAAGATAAACAGAGAGCGGGGCGAACAGGCGGGAGAGCGGGTGTCTAAAATGCTCCGGATGAATGTATGCGAGCATGGCACAGCTGTACGGCTGCCTGGCCCTCAAACTGCACGCTGCTGCGGGGGGCCTAGGGGTGCTGATGCCGCAGCAGCCAAGGAGCGCACCTTTTCGGTCCGCTCCGCAGCCACGTCAAGCACTGCCGCCAGGCACACCAGCTCCCTCATGTCCACACGCTGCAGCAGAGGCTCGTCGAGGCGTGGACGTGCTGCCGCAGAAGTGGCAGCGATGTGCGTGCAGCACGAGCAGAGCACACACGTCAGGGGCAGTACTGCAGTGCCGGCAGGATCGCACAGCGCCCCCACCAGGCTTCATGCGGGCTCCGCATGGTATAAATAGGTTACTTGGGACACAAAGAATGCGCCATGCCGTCCTCAGCGCAAAAAACGCCGTGCCTCCCCGTCAACCGAGTCAGCGATGTGATGAAGGGCACCGTATGGATGCATATGCCTCACCTCTCGGAAAATCTTCCTTGTAGGCAGGCTGCAGCTGCACAAGCGGGGCACACGCCAGCACGCACAGGGTGGCAGCCATGTTTTCCTCAAGTCTCCCCGCGCAGGGGCTTTTCGAGCGGTAGAACAGTTCTTGGGGCTTATTGTAATACTGCGATATGTCGATCGTAGAGCACCTGCCCCTGCAGCAGGGCAGAAGCTGTTTCAGAGCTCCTTCCTTCTCCGCACTGGCTCGCAGACGACGCGATTGCGCTTTAAGGTGCAGACAATGATAAATACGGTGCGGTTGAGCTGTGCTAGACGACCGAACTCTCGACCCATCCACTCCCTAGACACCCAGGATTGAAGGATCCAGGCAATCATTTTGTGACTGCACTCAGTTGTAGACGTTGTCCCTCGGAGAAATATCAACACCTATCAAATGATGTTGCTGGCATTCACTCAGAATCTCGTCGTTGGCGGCCTCCTCGGGAGGCCTGGTGAGTTGTCAACTCAGCACGCACCTGCAGCAGGTATCAAGGGACACCTCCACCAGCGTTCGCGTGCAACAAAGTGCAGGCCCATGCTGACCTCAAATAAACTCACCAGCTTCACCTTCAAATCACTGCCTCAATGCATGCCTGCGGCTGTACGCTGAATGCATGCCTGCGGCTGCAGGCAGCAACCGACGACTGCCGCGGCCACGTGGCCATGGGTGATTTGGTGCGCAGTGATGCAATGCCCAGTCACGTGGATGCGTAGCTGTTACAAATCCACGGCCAGTATTTACATCACCGCAGGTCTGTGCTGCTGCCGCCTCCAGCACCCAGAGCAGCCAGGAACGTGTCCGAGTTGAGCACTGAGCTGCCACCCAGCAGTGCGCGCATGGGGGCGGGAGGTGTACCCCCAAGGCCTGCTGGTCCCTGGGCCCCACTGATGCCGCTGCCGCTCTGCTTGGCGTTCCACTCAGCCACCACCTTTGCCTCTTCGTATGTAGATCCCCCTACTACAAACACGATTGCCTCGCTAGGTGGCCGCGTCTTGTACGCAGCCGCCCACGCCATCTGCTCGTCCTGCGGGTTTGCGGCGTGCATGGCGAGTAGGCGAGGTTGACGAAAGTGCTGGTGCTGCTGCTGCTGCGGCACCCACATGCCAGAGCATGTTAAATGTTGCGGGTACATGCGGCTTGTTGATTGTACAAGCTGCATGCTGCTGTATGGTCGTTGAGGCAGCTCATCCTACACAGCCGTACAGCGATACGTCATGATTGCCAATGACTGCCGCCAACTTTCCTGGCCCCACACCACCCTGAAGGCGCACCGTGCTGCCCATGAAGGGGTAGAGCTGCGTGTTCAGACTGCCGTCGCGCAGCGCCGCCAGTGTGCTTCCAAGCAGAGGGCTGTGCTGTGTGTACACGTTGTCCACGCCCTGCATAGTGACAACATTGCCGCATGAGGACTTGCTGGTGCGTTGCAACACACCAGACATGAGCCGTGCCGTAACCTGCATGCGCTGTCCACGCAGCGCAAATGTCCCCACCTGCAGGCCCTTGACCAGGTTGCGGGCCTTGAGCAGGATGTTGCCGCCGCCATACAGGTCACCGGCACGTCTATGCGCGGTAGAGATGCAAGGGGGTTGGAGGGGGGATGCAAGGCGGGGCCAAGCGGCAAAGAACATGCTGGCGGCTAGAGCATGGGCTGTGCATGTGTTGAGAAGGAAGAATAACAGGCACTCAACGAGCCCGGCAGGTAGCATGCTGTGAGCTGATTGCAGGTGATGCACCAACAGCACTCGAATGCATCCCACCTCGCCACACCTGTCTATGCCGCCGAACTTGACGAACCCCTCCGCAGCCGCCGCGAGGCCAGGGTTGCGGTCCCTCAAGCGCGATGCCTCCAGCAGGTCCAGCAACCCCCTTGCCCTGTGCGCGTGTGGGGTACGACGCTTGATGGCGTTGTGCAAGTGCGGCTCAACATTGCGATTGTGATCCTTGACTTAGTGGCAAACCCCCGGCAAGAAACATGCATGCAGACCCTCTCGCCCACCTGCCACCTTCACTCTCAAACCGCAACGTATACAGCATCACCAATCGCACCGCGTCCTTGTCAGCTAGGGCGCCTGGTCCCTACATAAACGGGTGCAGAGAGCATTTCAGGATGTTCAAGCGGGTGAACTTGCATAACCCAAACCCTAAACCCTGAACCCCGCAAGTAAAGTGAGCGAACTGACCGCGCACCGCCAGCTGCTGTGCAGGTGGCAACGGTAGGTTTGTGCCGCACTCAGCATAACAGACAGCTTCAAAACTTATCAATATCGCGCCCACCTGCTTCCGCAGCAGGTCTGCCAGTGTATCATACGTGGCGGAGGCGCTAAGGCTGGCGGCGGGGTTGGCAAGCTCCTGCTCAATCTGCCAGTTGCAGCCAAGCGGCATGGTGAGGGTGATGAGAAACAGCAGCGGATGCGCGTGACAGCAAGCCTGACCACCTGGATGCAGGACAGCACCTCCAATATCAGGTGGGCTTCATAGAAAAACATGTGGTTGCGCGCACACAACCAGGCTGGTACGCCCAGCGCATGCGACGGGAATGGGCCCACCGTTGAGACGTCCATGAGGTGGCGCGCCCCAATCTGCTCGCTGAGTGCGCTCATGATGTTGACGTGCTTGCCCACCACGCCTTGTGCGCGGCTGAAATCGCTGTGTTCCATGACGAATCGCCGCATGTCTTCTAGCGAATTGACCTGCAGGGGAGGAGGGCAAAGCAAGGCAAGCATGGGCCTCAAAATGCTGCAAATGATTTTGTCCACAATGTTATGAAGAAAATCACTGAAATGAGCCTCCTCGGTGAGCCGCACTGCGCATGCGGCAGGGCTTCGACAACGTGCCTACCATATACGTGCTCCCCTTGCTCGGTCCCGTCACCAGTCACACCTGTCTGTGCTGCGCGCTAGTGTCACTGAACTTCTCGACTGCTTCCTTGACCGCCAGCCCCACCTCCCCGTAATTGCTGTAGCGGTGGCGGCTGTAGAAGTCGTCGCTGGCAGCGTCCAGCACCACCTCCCTGTGGAGCGGCCAAGCAGGGATCAACCATGGCGCAAAGTTGGGTGCAAACCCACTTCACGATTCAAACAAAATCTGGCAAATCGCCCCAGGCACGGCCACAGCCACGGGATGAGCGGCTATGGAGGCGTTTGTCAGACGCCTAGCACAGCGCTCTGCTGTGGCGGTGTGCTGTGGCTCTCACCGGTACTGGTCCGGCACCTTGGGGCTGTCCAGGACCACTGTGCCGTCCTTGATGCCGAGAAGCTCGTGGATCATGGCCTGTATAACAGGGTGAAGCACCGAAATGGACCAGTAGATGACGATGACGTCACTGGGTCGCATGTGGCGCAGCACGAAATAGCATAATGGTTGGGCAGCTGCAAATGTGTCACATGCTGATTCAGCTGATGTCTGCAGCAATCGTGCGCCATGGTTGCTGCACCATCCCTCCCATTACCCCACCTGGTAGGTCCACTGTGTCAGCAGGGGTGTGACAGGATCATCGCGGCGGTCCACAAGCAGCACGATGGGGCTGGCACGGTGAGATCCAAAGTCAAACACCGCAACCTGCAGCAGCAGTGCAATAACGTCAGACCACTTCCAATTGTGGATGCAAGCTGCTGCAGAGCATCGATGGGCGTAGACAGCGTCAAGACATGCGCACGTATTGCACTAAGGCTTGCAGCCTTGCTCGTTGCGTCGCATCCCCACGTCTTGCTGCCCTGCAGACCTGCTGCTTATATGTGAGGCTATAAAGACTCTCCGCCAAGCGCCGCGCGTACTCGCTGTTGCGCTGGTAGCGGATGACTGGGCGGCGCCGCAGGGCCAGAAACAGCCCCGACATACCCTGCACCAGCCTGTCCACGACCTCATACCTGCAAGCAATTGCAAGAAAGGTAAGGCCGTTGGGCGGGCGTTGAGGCAGATTGTTGGCTACTGTCAAGACAGAGCGTCGGCTCATTTTTGGTATTGCTTGCCTGCTTACAAGCAAACAGCAACGTAACCTCAGCTTCACATGAAAAAAGCGCTTGCTTACTCTGAGGGTGTGCCGCTCTGCACGATGGCGCGCGGGTTGATGAGCAGGTCTGCGCCCGACACTGGCACCACAAAGTGGTGCTTGTCAAGGGCCATGAAGTCCCCGTAGAATTCCTGCGGCAAAGCCAAGAGCGGTTGCTGTTGTAGAAGATGCTGTGGACGCATTCAACCAATCCTCTACTCGTTGCATATTTTTTGCAGTGTGTCATTGTTCCAGCCACTCATGCAGGCTGCCTACATCGCCACTTGCCCTGCTGCTGATGCTGGTGCGCCCATCTCTGTTCACCTGCACAGACTGAATGAGCTCCTTTGACGCGTCTGCCTCCGCTAGGTCCTGCAAATACATCTGGGGCACCAGATGGCTGAAGACTGCAGGATGGCAGGTTGGATAAGGTAGATACCGTGGCAGGAGTTGGCAGCTGCAGTGTGAGTGCAGGTAAGGCATTTGGATGCGTGTCGTGGTCAATGATGGCTTCTTGACAAGTGTATTTCACAAGTATTCCCTACCCTGCCGCCATCAGGTTTCAACAGTGAGCAGCGCCTGTCGCACACATGCAAGGTGGGACCAGTTTGGGTAACCGATGCGCCACATATGCAGTATGGAGCCACGATCAGACACCACAGCCTCAGACTTGCACTTGGCGAAAAACTCACACAGGTGATACGACTGGAAGCGCGGCTGCCGCAGCTCGCGCTTGAGCATGGTGATGTTTTCACGTGTTGGCCTTACAAACACCACCGCCTGCGGCGCACGGGGTCAAGGGCAGTGACCAGCCTGCCAAGCGCACCATGCGGCCGTTTTTGTGTCGAGAACTCTGCTGCCTGACTGTGTGGATAGAACTGTTGGATGCAAATCAGTCCAGCACCTTGCGCTTCAGCACTATTCAACAACTGTCACAGCGGCGATCGTGCACGCGTTGCTGCACAGTCTCAACCTGCACTTCTCGGCTGCAGCACGGCCACTGAACACCTGGCGCCTGTGCCCGAATCTAACGCTACTGCAACGCTGCTGGCAAAACCGCATCAATCAAGGCGTCCACCTCAAATGCATGCGTTGCGCCAGGCCCGGCCTACCTTGAGCTCCATGTGCTCCTTGCCTTCGCTGCCCGCTGCGGCGTCGAGCCGCTCGACATGGACCACGCTGTGATCGGCCAGTTCAGCACGCCCGTAGAGCGTGCTCACGACTCGCATGCTTTCTTTGTCAAGCAACAGCGCCTTGTAGCCCTGCACCTCGTCCACCATCTGCTGCACATAGGCTCGCAGGATCCTAACGAGGTCCATCTGCGCCAGGGCCGCCGATCGCTCTTTTTCCAAGGCGTTGCGGGCCTGTGAGCTTGCCATGGTAGCCCCAAGCCCGCCTTACGCCTCGCCAGTCCGCGCTGTCTCTCGTCAACAGACTCCACTCGCGAACTGCAGCTGTTGTTCATGAACCTGCAAATGGTATTGATTATACTAGATATACAAGCCGAAGTCACCATCAACCGCAGGTTGAGTAAGCACGCTTTCTGCGCAGCCCGTCGTCGGCGCAAGCGTAGGCGCGCTGCTTGACAACGCCTGCATGGGCGCCAGGTGCAGTGAGCACTCCACCCTACGTGGAGCCCTGCAAGCGCCGCTGCGCGCGACTGCTGCAGTGTCAGCCAGATAACATGGGTGCACGGCTGTCGAGCGTGTTGAGATGTGCTGAGCGCCGCCGACGCTCACGGTCGTCAACGTCAGCAGGACCAATGGAACGGCCGCAGCTGCGCGCCGTGCCAACGGTAAGGTTGGATTAGAATCAATCTTAGGATTGTTCCGCGATTTCCGTTTCGATAGCCATCCAGGATCATGGGATCCTCCTTGGTAGGAGAAACATGATTCCAAGCGCGCGTCGTGCGTCGACAGGAGTGCAGAGTCAGCGTCGGTGTGCAGCGGGCGGCGGGCGCGAGCTAGGGGCTGTCAGCCTGATGCACTGCAGCAAGAATGTGCTTATCTTTGCTGCAACATGGTGCACGTCACCACCCTTGAACAGGTCAGCCCGTGGAACGGGCACGGCCGCAGTCGCCTTGCCGTGCGAAGGACTGGCCTGCTCGTGCTCCCTGCTCACCATGCATTTAATCGCTGCATGCACGGCCAGGACCTTGAAGCTGGGCGCAGTTCAATACAGGCTGGGGCCGCGTGCGCGCCGCGCGTGGGTGATAATCTTCAACCAGACTTCCATCTTTTCAGAAAACTCTAGGGTCGGTTGGATAGGGCTGGGTTGTTGAGTTGACCCCCTTGCAGGCATGCTGACACCACATGTTGACACACATGTGACAAGTGCCACTGATGACACCAGGCGAGTGACACTGTGCGGGGTCAAGCCGTGCCCACCTCAGAACTTGGCCCCTTCGTTTGTGCTGTGGCAACCATCAGCCTGATGGTTGCCAGGCTGAGCCTGGCACCAACCAGCCTCCAACTGGCAATCAACCAGCTGTGCCAACCCTTTTCCCTCAACTGGTGGTGATGTCACCCAGCCGTAACACATCACTGCCCTGCCTACGCAGACCTGCGGGCCGCGCCGCGCTTTGCACCCCTGTTTGCGGACCTGCCTGCACATGCCCGCATGCGCGCCCCCGTGCGCAGTGCGGATCAGCATACACTCGGGGAGAGAGAGAGAGAGAGAGACTACGCAGGCTGTTAAGCCCGCGTAAATTTAGGAAAGGGGGGCTGGCTTGCAGGGGCCGAGGCCGCCGCGCCGCCCCCCCACCAAAGTGATGGGGAGGGGGCCAGTCCCCCTATGTCACTCCTGACGGTGCGCGTCTGCGCTTCTTCCCAAGCCCTCCAGGGCCATGCTCAATGGCTCGGCGCGCCTGTATGGTGTGATGCAGGGTGTTTACCGCGTGAGTGTGCAGCTGTGGCAGTGTGGATGTCAAGATCTTGTGTGGGACCCCCAGGTCTTTCAGCAGTCTGGCTGTGTCCTTGTAAATTGTCCCTCCGACTCCTAGAACAATGGGGTGCAGCTGCACTTCTTGACGTGGGCGCGACTTCAGGGCCTGTGTGAGCTCGGTGTATTGGTCTTTCGCGTTCTCCTCTTGTCGTTCTGGCCATGCGTTCCTGCCGTACTTGACCTCAATCAGGTGAATTTCGCGGGGCGGCGGGGTGGCAGTGTCCCGTTTGCGGCGCCTGCATTCCTTCACAAGGACTGTATCAGGTTTGAGGGCTGCAAGGCGGGCTCTGTCTGCATTGGAGATGCCCACAGCAGGCAGCCACTGTGGTCCAATATTGCGGGGGAGATTGTGGGTCAACCCGGCTGCTGCGCAGTCATCCGTGCTGCCAACATCTGCCGGAACTCCGAAGATACACTCGGGGCCTTTGTGCACGCGTGCTTCGAACTGCGAACAGTGGCCCCTTGAATCCCTGCCACACAATGCTGATGCTACCAAGTCATATCCCATGAGCCTGGATGGCTCGAGGAGTGTCGTCGTGCACAACGGGGGCTGGTGCACAACTGGCTCCGAGCGGAACTGGCCACTGCAATCACGCCCAGCCCCCTTCTGGAAGATGGCCGGAATCCAGGCATGCACTCGGAGCTGGCTGCACGCCGGAGCTCATTGCGCGTGACAGGAGCGGGCGACCGCGGGATCTTGTAACATTTCTAATCCCTCATTCATGACATCTATCGGCTGTAGTAGCCCTTAAATCGTAAGTGACTGGTGGTCATGTCACCCGACAATGACCCATCGCTAGCCATGGCGTCATTCCTAAAGGAGTGAGAGGCCCCTAACAAATGCATGCCACGCTCGTTTAGGGCACTGGGCTGTGGTGTCTAAACAGCCCGTTACTAGGTCACTGCAGTCACCCTGATGACGGGATTACGACTATTCTTGAATGTGAACACACCCCAGTGACACACCCCGTGACCTCACCAGCTACCCCTTGGCTGCTGACTGCCTCGCTCTTGGTGTTGACTCCCCTGGCCGCTGCTGGCCGATGGTGCCCAACTCGCACGCACCTAGGCATCACGGTCTAGGTTTG